CGCGTCCCGGGCACCGGCCGCCCGCCCGCCGGGAAGGATCAGTCATTTTTTTATTTTTTCTCTTAAATTCTTGATATGTTAAAAATTATTTTTCAAACTGAGGGAAGAGGTGGTCACTGAGGGTACCTCAGGCTGACAGACTGAGAATTTACACTTTGAAACAGGCCTCAGTTTTCCCTCCCTAACCCCTTTATTTCTCCCGGGAAGTTCAATGCAGGGAGCTGGAATACCCGTAAGAAAGCAAACGGCAAAGCTCAAGCACGGTGCGGCCGCCCAGGAGATATTATTGAACAGTAAACAGAAAGTGCATAGTTAAATATTTCCTTTTTTATAAAGCTCTCGATTATTCTCCAGAAATTAAAATACTTTTTTGTTGCCGTGCAATAAACTTTGCTCCCCGGCATTAACAACGTCACGCGGCGCCCGCCTATGAGGAATTGAAGCGCTCGGAGCATCTGTGCTCCCACTTGGAGAGGAAAGGCAACGCGATGCTGCCCAATCCATCTTGCTGAAGAACATTCACCGTCCCCTCAGTGCAGCTGACTGCTCGCTACACGCCGTTTTACAGCATTTTACTGTATTAGATAGCAAAAATTGGAATAAATCTGTGTGCAATAAATGTATTCTTTTATTAGGTTTATCCCTTAATCAAATATTCATTTATGTGGGCTTCATTCTATTAAAAAATGAAATTATACAAAGGTGAGCAAAAGCGTGGATTTACAGTAGTTTAAAGCCTAATCTCATTCTCTAGGGGTAATATTGACAATATAAAAACTGTATAAATGATATTCCCTAACACTAAAATATGCTTATGAGCCCCCTGTGCATGTTCTACTGCTTTACAGCCTACAGTGAAATGCATGACTGGCTTAATAAGCAAGACATTTAGAAAGGATTTTTTTTTTCCCCCTCCACAATGTGTAACACAAGTAAAGATCTCACAGTTTCTCAGAGAGCCAGAGTCTACGTTAATAATTGTAATTTTCCCTCAGGATGGTGTTGTCATCCCGGCATGGTTAGGCCAGGGTACACATTAATCTCTTGCACTCTCTTTTAGCAACAATATCATCACTTGTCTTTTTCTTTCAGGGCTTTAATGCGTGTACAAAGGACAAATCCAAAAGCAATAATTACAATTTGTATATTTATTCACTTTTTT